GGTTGATGGGAGCATCTTTATTTCCTGGAGATTAGAGGAGGAGATAAAAAATTCAGAAAAGCAAATTTGATGGGAGCTACTGTGTTTATGGACATGTTAAAGGTGCTGATGAAATTTCCACTGTCCCATAAATACAGAAAACTTGGACAATGGTGACTGATGGAGAGACCCGGGAGAGGGCATCACATCTGGGCTAAACGTTAGCAGACATTCTTGAAAGAGGGCTTTTCCACAGCAACAAAGCGCACTTGCTGTGCCATCCATGGAGCGGAGGCCAAGGGAATGTGGCTCTCTGTCCTGACCTGGATCTTTCTCTGATTTCTCGCAGGGATTTTCAGGAAACACAAATGCAGACAGCGTGGTGCACTACCGGCTCCAGCCCCCCTTCGAAGCCAGGTTCCTGCGCTTCCTGCCTTTAGCCTGGAACCCCAAGGGCAGGATTGGGATGCGGGTCGAGGTGTATGGGTGTGCATACAGTAAGTAGCCTTGGTTGCTGGAAGAAATCCACACCTGCATGAGATGCCGCAAAAGCCAAACTGCCACCTGAACTTGACTTCTGATTTTTAAATAACTGTGCAGCCAAACTGATTTTTTTTTTTAAATCTTGTGTCTATCTTCCCATGACAGAGTGGACTTTAGTTTTTACTTTTTATAGTTGAATTTAGAGGTGGACCTTAATCAAGATGTATTAATATTTAGATTTCCAGAGTTTAACAGAGTACTTACAATGTAATAGCCATTGAATAAAGTCAATAAAGTTTAAACCAGGGGCAGATGATGCTGTTCTTCTGATGCAGACACTCAGTATAGGAATGCAGGGGGGTTGGGGGGCTCTGGTTTCTTAGGCACAGCGCCTGCTCAGTGGTGTCTCAGTTCTGACTCTGCCTCTCTCTGTTGACGTCCCTGGGAAACCTCTGTCCAGTGCACTGAGGCTTCACTTTTTCTTCCTTGGTAGGGATACATGTATATGCATTATGTCAGCCTCTTTTTCTCATCTATTATGTCATTATGTCAGCCTCTTTTTCTCATCTATTAACTATAATCAAAGTCAAAAGACTGGCTTGAAATTCTAGCTCCTTGGGAGCTGATGCAGAAAGGTCACAGGTTCAAGGTCAGCCTGTCTCAAAATAGAAAATTAAAAGGGTTGGGAATGCAGTTTAAGGGCAGAGCACTTGTCTAGCCTGAGGGAGACCAAAGTAAAAAGAATGGAACTAATGTGAGTATATAACACAGACGTGAAAAGCAGACCATGGAATTGTGTGGCCGGAGTTTATCATCTAGCCGTTATTGGATAATCCAGGATATACTTGTTCTATTTCTTTATATCATCATAGATTATTGTCAGAATGGGACAATAATAAAAAATAATTCCTGTGTAGACCTGGAGAACATGCAAAGAATAGACTGGATAGAAATATCTTTGGCATCTCAGGTTTGGTCAGGTTGGACCCCTGTGTGATACCATTTGCACACAAATACCCGCCTCCATTCTTTGCTAATCCCGGCTTTGACCCTGCAGAATGTTAATTTTCTAAAACATAATAATCATCTACCACCCATGAAGTATTTAAAGTCATGAATGCTATTATTCACATTCTGTGACTCAACCCCTGTGCAAGCCAATTACTTTCCTAACTCTGTAATCTAATGTTTACATTTCTATGGGACGTTAAGTATAATGGTGTTGTTTTGCCATCCGACTTTCTTTTCTTCCCCTCCCATTGGTCATTTTCTTTCATCACTGTATTCCCTTGAACCCAGCTGAGTTCACTGTTGCAATGGCTACAGTGTCTGATACTTGGAATTTCTCTTTGATGCTCTGAAATTAGCTTGTCCTCCCATCACTCTGAAACAACTTCAGGTTTACTGACTTCAAAGCAGAACACGCTCTTTGATGGGGATTT